ATTGCATGGGAGGAGATTACTTACCTGTCTCTCACAGAGCAACTAGTGGATTTTAACTGCTGTTAACTCCTTACCCACTAGGCCACCAGAGTTTCCAAAACAAAATGTTATCCTTGCTTGGAATAACTTGTCGTGAAGTCAGAACAAGGATACGTAAACCATAGCCAGTTGAAGGAATGTAGCCCTCTGACTGTTTTTCCATTGTACATCTACCCCTCATTGTTAGAAATAATGCTGCTGTGAATATTTGTGTACAGATTTTTATGTTACTGTGCTTTCTTCTTGAATATGTACTTGGAGAATTGCTGGGTCATATGGGAACTCTATGTTTAACTTTCTGAGGAACTGCAAGTCTCTTCCACAGCAGCTGCACATTTTGCATTCCCACCAATCACTTATGAGGGTTTCGTTTTCTGGACATTCTCATTCATTCCACCACTTGTTATTGTCAGTCTTTATTGTTGTTATAATAGCCATCCTACTGGTTGTGAAGTGGTATCTCATTGTGGTTTTGATTTACATTTCCCTAATGATAATGATGTTAAACATCTTTTTATATGCATATCGGTCATTTGTATAATTTCTTTGGAGAAATGTCTATTAAAAATTCTTTGCCTGCTTGTGAATGAAGTTATTTTTGTCTTTTAATTGTTGAATTTAATTGTTTTGCTATAGTCTTTTGCATACGTTTGATTTTTTTTTTCCTGATGGAAGTTGAGGGGATGATAATAATTGGATCACTGAGGTTTTTTCCCCCTGCCATATTCTTCCTCCTTTATAATAATCTCTTTTGTTTTCAAGATCTCATGCAGTTTGATGATAAAGGCAACAAGACCAATATACCAGATAAAGAACGACAAATTGAAGCTCTTCAGTTGCTTTTCCTCATTCTCCCTCCACCTAATCGGAACTTGCTGAAGTTATTACTTGATCTCCTGTACCAGACAGCAAAAAAACAAGACAAGAACAAGATGTCTGCCTATAACCTTGCTCTTATGTTTGCACCACACGTCCTGTGGCCCAAAAATGTAAGTATTCAGAGAAACGGAAAGGAAGAGTAAAGACTGACTGGTTTTCTTGAGCAGGCGCTTATACTATCACCACACCTTGATGAGGTTATCAGGCGTCCAAAGTCTAGTGTTAAGCTCTATGAGGTTTCTGGAAAAAAGGCCATGAAGTTAAGAACATATTTATTAGTTTATTTAAGTGTCATCAAACCAAAAAAAAAAAAAGAAAAAGAAAAAAAGAGTCATCAAACCAGAGAAGGCCATTTGTTGTTAAAGCCACTTGTAAATCAGTCTAGTAAACCTGAAAGGCAATTTATTAGTGGATGCTCTTAGAGGAGAACTATAATGAAACGAGACTCATTTTAGTTGGTTAGTGTGCCTTCTTTCTTAGTAGAAAAGCCTTCTTAGAAAAGAAAATGAATTTCTGAAAACTATATGGTGAGTATAAATTCAGAATAAAGAGAGCTTTATGGTAAGATACCTGTCTTGACAACTGTGGTTTCTGCAGATAAAATCTCCTTGGATAAAATGGAATATATTTCCAATAACCAAGTCCATAGCCTACTCAGTGACCTACACAGTAAAATCTCTTGAGCTAATTCTTGATCTGGGGGCATATAGCTTAATATTCCTGCCCATTCATGATATAGGTTTTCCTATGTAATAGAACTAGAAGTCAGAGTACCTGGGTTAGAAGCTACAAGCCGGCTATGTGATCTGTATCCTTAACTCCTCTTTCTACTTAGGCTCTTCTGTAAACAGAATAATAGTACCTTCACCACCTGCTTCACAAAGTTAAGACTCAAGGCCAAGAAGAAAGAAGGAAGATAATAGAATTAGCTAGTTGTGGTGCCTTATATAGATTTTTGAGATTATAAGAAATGAGGGGGAATAAAGTAAAGGAGGGAGACTGTGTGGGGTATGTTACTACAAAATGAGCAGATGCAAATAGAGGAGGTCGAGTCTGACTTCTACCCACTTCATAAAGGGGAACTGTCTCTATCAAGAATAGGAATCAAAGAACATTTGATTGTGCTTATGCGAAACCTATACTTGGACCAGGAGGCAGTTGTCAGAACAGAGAAAGGAAACACTGCTTGGTTCAGAGTTGGGAGGGGTATACACCAGGGATGTGTCCTATCTCCATACCTTTTCAATCTATATGCAGAACAGATTATCTGGGAGGCTTGGCTTTGTGAGGAGAATTGTGGCATCAGGACTGGAGGAAGATTCAGCCGACAATCTGCGTTATGCAGACGACACAACCTTGCTTGCTGAAACTGAGGAGGACCTAAAGTGCTTGCTGCAGAAAGTCAAGGACTATACTCTTTAATATTGATTTAAGTGCAATATCGAGAAAACAAAGATTTTCACCACCGGGCCTATTGGCAGCATCATGATAGGTGGTGAAGAGATTGAGATTTTTAACAGTTTTAGTTTGCTTGGCTCCACAGTCAACATTCTTGGTACCAGCAGCCAGGGATTTAAGAGACAAATTACACTGGGAAAGTTTGCTGTTAGAGACCTCTCCAAAGTGCTGAAGAGCAACAGTATCAGTCTGGAGACTAAGGTGGACCTGATCCGGGACATAGTCTTTGCAATTACTTGCTATGCATCAGAGACCTGGACAGTGACTAGGAATGATAGAAGGAGAATTGATGCCTTTGAGCTGTGGTACTGGAGAAGAGTATTGAATATATACCATGGACTGCTTAGAGAATAAAGAGATTGGTCCTAGAGAGGGTGAAGCCAGTCTGCTCCTTGGAGGCAAGGATTCTGAAGCTTCGTCTGACATACTTTGAACATGTTGCATGGTGGGATTGGTCCTTGGAGAGGGACATCATGTTTGGGAAGGTGGAGGGGCAGTGCAAGAGAGGAAGACCCTCGATGACATAGATTGATTTAAAGACTGGGGTAATGGGAGTAGGTGTGTCAGAGACAGTAAGATTGGCATAGGATAGAGCAGGGTAGGGCTGTTGTACATAGGGTTGCTTGTGAGTCGCAGGTGACTTGAAGGCACTTAACAACAATGATGAAAACCGTACAAATAACTACATGGTCACATGTGCCACATTCTCTTCACTCGCTCTCCACCACTGTTCCTTACAGTGTCTTCCCAGTCTTTTCACCATTGTTACATATCTGATAATTAGGACAAGGAGTCTAAAATCATGGGCTAGAAATTAGAACCTCTGTGCAGAGGAAAGCGTGGGTACTTATCCTGTGTATAGAGTGCAAACCTCTAATGAAAAAATGTTAGAATGCGCTAGCCAGGAGATGGACAAGAAGTGAGTGAATAAACTCACTTAGAAACATCTAAGAGGTTTTAGTGAGATCAAGGAGATGACAAAAAAAATGTTGAGGAAGAGGGCTTTGGAGTAGTAGAGACAGTAGAAAAACTTTAAGTACTTCAAAAAAATAGGCAGAAGAAACAAGGGAATCAGGGAAAATTTGTTTATTAACGAAAAGATGCCACCTTTAGTGTCAATTGGTAGCAGCCATTTTCTTCTGTATTTGGAGAAACTTCAGTTTCTCTTGAGTCATGTCCTGGAGATCTTGTACAGATTCTGTTCTTTCTGCCTATTTTGAATCTCATACTGGGTCTCCTTTATCGATTTTGCTAGTGTGTCTGATTTTCAAGCAGAATTAGGAAATGAAGATTGATTCTTAAGGATTTCCTTATCACTCTGGGGAGATGGTTTTTTGTAAATTATGTTTTATCTTGTGGAAATGTGTTAAAATGAGCACTCTTTTCAGAATTAGATGTTGTACCACAGCTTCTTTGTTAAGGATAAATACTATTATACATTTGGAAGGAGTAACCTTATTGTGTAAATGAATCAGCCTTCTATTTCCCAGGTCCTAATGCTTTCTCCATCCTCCTTTTTCCCTCTTTCTTCTCCTCTGAATAGGTCACTGCAAACGACCTTCAAGAGAACATCACCAAGTTGAACAATGGAATGGCTTTTATGATTAAACACTCCCAGAAACTTTTTAAGGTAGGTAAGGGATGGGATTTGCATAGTAATAAGACAAGGGTGATGAACAAGATTGGGCCCCAAGCAGGGCTATGAAGATAACTAGATAAGAAAGGGCTGACTGGGAGGGTAAGTCAGGTTGAAGAGTGCCCAAATCAGGGAGAACTAGTAGAGAGAGGAAGAACAGGAGAGTAGACGCTGAGTCGGGCCCCACCCTTTGGGTAATTGACTCCACACTGAGTCATCCCTTTATCATGAAAGGCAACTCCTACTGGCAACTGAATATCAGCCACCTTCCTGCCACAAATATTGTGTTTGACAGTCTCCATTTTGTGTTTTTGTACTTTTCAGTCCAAATGGGCAATGTTTTTGGTGAAGAACATCTGCTGAGATGACTGTGATGTTGTTAGTTGTCATCAGGTTGGCTTTGACTCATGGTGACCCCGTGAACAATAGAATGAAATTTCTCCAGTCCTGTGCCATTTTCATGACTGGTGTGGTATGTGGACGCCTGTTGTTGGGGCCACTTTGTATTTTGACTGTGTTCCAACTTAAGAGGCTCATTTCTCAGGACTATATCAGTGTTGCTAGGAGAGGCTATTCCTTGGAAAGGGACATCATGTTTGGAAAGGTCCGTGAAAGAAAGGGAGATACAGAATGAGATGGAGTGACTGTAGCAGTGGGCTCAAGTGAGAGGATGAGAATGGTGTCCAGAGTATGTGAGACAAAATTTTATCACCTTTGCCTCCGTGGAGCGCTCCGACTGCACTTGCTCCAAGACATACTTGCTTATTCTTTTGACAGTCCATGGGATATGCAGCACTCTTCTCCAATACCGCAGCTCAAAGGCATCAGTTCTCCTGGCATAACAACATGTAAATCATGAGATGGCAAACTGACAGATGGGTGGGATGGGATGACTGTGAAGCACATGCTTAATCTCTTCAAAGGATCCATTGTTTGACCGAATGCTCTGACCTTTTGGTTTTTCTAAGGTTTTAGCAGAGGCTGTACAGTCATATTGTTGACCTTTTCCTTAGAGCGTATTTTTGCCATCTGGAGAGACTGAAAAATTTCAGAATTCTCCAATCTTTGTTATATTTGTCTGTCTCCTCTTAGTATATGCTAACAAAAGACAGACACTTAGATATAGACAGAAAACCAAACCAAAACCACTGCTGTCCAGGAGTTCATTTTATTAGCCTTTGAGACCATTAGGTGTCTGAGGTTGTAAAACTTTATGAGAGGAGACTGCCTGTCTTTCTCCTGTGAAGTCGCTAGTGGATTCAGACTGTCAGCCTTTCAGTTAACAGTCCAACTCATAATGCACTATGCCCCAAAGTGTTCTCTGTGTACATTTATAGATGTAGAATTTTTTACTTTAATAGATCCCTCTTTCAGGACTTCACCTTTACTTTGGAATTTTGATTCTTGTTGCTATTAAACCTTTTTTTAAGGCAAATTAATACTGTCTAAGCCTCAGTTTGTTTCTTTTATTTTTTTGTGTGTGTTTTTTTTAAATTTATTATTCATTTCAATGAAAATTTACAGAGACTTTGGATTTCTATTCATTCATTGTTGCACTTTTCACACCTCCCAGACCTCCACTCCAGTAACACTACCCTTTTGGAAAAGTAAAAGAAAAATTATTTCATTGTTTTATAATCCCTCCCCCCAGGTCTACTCCACTATGCAGCCTTCGCTCTGGACTCTTGTCATGACAGAAATACCTAATCACATATCCCTTTTAAACAGTTTTCTCCCTCATCTGTTTCAATGCAGTATACATTATTGAACCCATCTTTCTCATTCACCCCCCAACCCTGATGTCAGTCCTGCTTTACAACAGTGGCACCATGCAGTATTTGTCCTTTTGTAACTGAGTTACTTCACTCAGCATTATGTCCTCCAGGGTTACTCATTTTGAATAATATTGCATGAGTTCCTTGTTTTTCAATGCAGCTTAGTATTCCATTGTGTGAATATACCACAGCTTCTCTATCCATTTGTTTGTTGATGGGCACCTGGGTTGTTTCCAACTCGTGCTATTGTGAGCAAAGCCACGATAAACATGGGTGTGCATATATCTGCTTGGGTGTCAGTTATGGTTTCTTTGGGGTATATTCCCAGTAGTGGAATTGCTGGTTCAAATGCTATCTCTACTTGCAACTTTTTTTTATTTTTTAATTTTTTTTTTTATTTGCAACTTTTTGAGGAAGCGCCACACAACCTTCCACAATGGTTGCACCATTTTACACTCCCACAAACAGTGAATAAGGGTTCCAGTTTCTCCACAACCTCAGCAGCGTTAATTGCTTGCTGTTCTGTTAAATTTTGCTATTCTGACTGGGGTGAGATGATATCTCATAGTTGTTTTTGTTTACATCTCTCTTAGAGCTAGGGATTTTGAACATTTCTTCATGTGCTTGTTGGCTATCCGAATGTCTTCTGTGGTGAAGTGGCCTCTGTTTATTTCTAAAGAGAAGGGAAACATAGTTTGGAGATGTGTA